TCAATAGTTCAGGAGAAGAGATGCAATGGTATAGGAAGGATCATGTTAGGTAGGATGATAGACATCTGTTGCTTCTCTTCATGGATTAAGATAGAATAAGCAAGAAGTATTTTTCTAAGTGTGTTGCAAAAACTGTAGGGACTATGTTTGAGGAGGTGGTAGGTGGATTTTGGCCTTGGGCTTGTCTATCATAAACTATTTTCTCTTTAACCAACTCTGAAAAATAACCTGCGAAATTATACATCTGCAAAGTCATGGAGGAGTGATCTTAGGGTTTGCCTGTCAGAAACACAAGGATTATTAAATCATATGGCTTTTGCCTCTCTGCCTCCCAGTCCTGTATTTTTTTTTAATGTGAATTTAAGGATTATTAAAAGGTTAGGAGAAAGACTGAATGTTGTGGCTTCTTTCCTCTTTTTAGATTTATTTTCAGAAGGAGATATATTTAAGTGTACCTCAATCAAAAAGTGTATATAAAAAAAAGCTAACTGACACATATAAGATATCACCGGATGGTGGCAGGTCTGCAGGTAGGATGCTGGTTTTCTGACAAGGACTTGTTATGAGCCCAGTGTATTTTTAAAGGGCATTCAACCCAGACTGTGTTATAACAATCTGTTGGCTGTGCTCCAAATTTCAATTTTGTTTTCTTCGGGAAGTAAAAGATGAAAGCATCAGCAGCAAGCCCTCACATCCAGAATATGCTAGCAGCACCATTTAAGGCTAGTTATTATGATGTGTCTGGCTTAGGAGATGTGTAATTACAAAGTGTTTATTTCACAATTGTTCCAAATTTGAGAGCATTTAGAGCTCAGTGCAGTGTTTGTCTTAATACACAGAGATAGGGACCCTCAGGAAAAGTAAGCTAACGGTAAACACAAACCAGAGTGTTAATATTTGTCCTCGTTGGTATTGTTGATTGCCTAACAAACCCTTTGTGGGCAGCAGACATCCAAGAGTTCCACACAGTATATGGGCACTAAAGTACATAACTGTTTATGCAACTAGTATTGTAAATTGGTACATAGGCTGGAAGTTTTATCAAGTGCACAGACAGTGCTATATTTCTAAAGGAAACTATTGCTTAATTAAAAACCAGCTTGGGCATTTAAAAAAAGAACAAAAATTAAGGCACCTCATTGAACAGGGTGGATAAAAGGAAAGGTTTGTAGTTCTTTTGTCTTTTTGATTGTACACAGGAGCTGTTGCTGATGCAGAGGGAAGGGTTAACATTTAAAATGGACTGGTTGCCTCCTGATTTCTTGCACATAAAACCATGAGAAGTTCAGGGAGAGACTTCTTCCCCCAGTAATGAAGCTCTCTGCTGCTAATGGCCCATGCAGACTCCCTTGGCTCCTCCAAATTAGAAATACTTTTGTGCTCCTTTGCTTCATTAACAGTAAAGAGAGGGAGATTGGTGGCTATTTAGGGCATGGGGAAATTGGTGGCTATTTAGGGCAAGCGAAAATTGTAGCAATTGTGGTTGGTAAATTCTCTTCATGGTGTTCTTCGACTCTTGATGTTCCTTGGGTGCTTTTCAGAAGAGCCCACCACTGTCTCTGCTAGCATTTTTCCTAGAAGGATGGGAGTTATTTGAATTTTTGGTCCTGGGTGATGGTCAACACAAGGCATCTTGCCTACTGAGAGATGATGGGTCTTTTACATTTTGATTTATTTTTCAGAATGTATCCTATGATTCTTTCCACTTCTAGCTGTGATAAGGGTATATTGGATAACCTTTACCTCCTCTACCCGTATTGCATTACAGAAAGCTGGTGCTGCATGTGAGTGCCTGTGAAATTGCATCCTGAATAAACCTTGCTAGAGAGATGGTGTGGCTTGATAGGAATAGGGCAATGCATGAAGAAGCAAGAGGAAAGGATACTTTAGAACCACAATGTGCTATGGTGGGTCTCTGATTGATCAAGGGGTTAGCATCAGATTATTAGATGCTCTTTGGAAGGAAATGGCATCACAAGAAAGGTGCAAAAAGTCCTAAAGACAAATAGAAATGAATTAGAGTTAGGATTCAGTTGCTTATTTGAAGAGGGGGTCAGTTTTATAAGGGCCTTCTGAACCTGGAGAGTAAGGTCTGAAAAATGGCTTCTTCAATAATCGAAGTTACAATTTATAGAAACTAAACCAGGAGAAATTACATCCTGAAAATTGATGCTGATGGAAATTGAGAAGTAACTAAGTCTAGTTGAAGTGACCAGGAGGATTTTTGGGGCCACATTGTTGGAATTAAGAAGCATTTCTGGAAATATCTACCCAATAGATTATATTATAACATATAGAGGTAATATTTTCAAGGTGGTATGCATGATATCTTAAGAAAAGAGTGACAAAATATAGGTTGAAATTAAATGTAAACAGATGGGTGGATAACAGAATTCTTCTTTTGGTTTATAGTTTAAAATAACTATTTGTAAAAGTAGTTTAATTGAGAGCACTTGACTGGAAAAATAAGAAATTAAAGTCCATAAGAAAACCTTAGCATTTTCCTAAACCAGGGCTCACTAATAGTGTAGATTGCCTGTAGGTGCCCAGAAGAGGTTTTCTGACCACCAAACATAAGTGTTTAAGTCCTCTTGGCAAATATTCTATTGATATGGAGGTTGACCATATTAAGCTCTGTTCACTTAGGATCAAAATGCTTATCTTCTTTGATTAATAAGTTTACATGAAATCCTCTGACACTCATGTGGTTTTCTGGGTAGACTTCCCGTTGGGGAGAAACATCACAAAGGGGCCAGTTGAACTATTAAGCTGAGCCATGATGATTGAGAACAAATGGGTAGGAGATACAAGGGAGAAAATTAAGCTTTCTAAAGCTTATGTAAAGATTAAAAATCTATAATAATAAAAGTGTAATATGCTAATTAGACTGGACGTCCTTCCGGACATCCTTCTGGATGACCTTCTGGATGAAGCCGGGGCTGCGAGGTAAACTCAGGTCTCAGGTGCCACAGGGAAGCTGGTGCTGGCAGCCTGGGGAAGGAAGGCCTACCCTTGCATGAATTTCATGCATTGGGCCTTTAATTAATAATTATAAATGTTATAAATGGAGGAGGAATTTTAGAATGTGAATATCCCATGACTGGAAGAAGGGACAGAATAAAAAATGGAGGAAATTCCTACAATGGATTTGAAATCAGAACAGATAACCTTTATGTCCATTCTGATTCTAAGAACATGAGTTGAATCTTCAACAATCTTGTTCTTTAGTTCCAATTTAAATTCTGATATACATGTGAAAAAAACAAACGCTAAGGATCCTAAACCCAAAGAGAGAAAGAAGTCTCCCCCACCCCAAACTTTCTAAAGATTTCGTTAATGCTGCATAGGGAAATCTTAGAAAAGCATAGTTCTTTTATTCCCCATGCCCTGATTATTTTTCATCCCTTTAATTAACTTACAGATTAAACAAATACATTTAATCCTACAAGGCTCTGTAGCACTAAAAGTATTGAGTGTGTTTTTTAATGACCAAGTAATCCTCTAGACATTAAAATAAGTAGCACAGGATGGCAAACCTGGCCCATCTGAGGTTCTTAAATGAGCTGTAGATAGATCTTGTTTGGCTTGCTAATGGTTACTGAATACTTTACATAGGTTATCTCTTTAAGTTTCCCAGGAGCTAGATGAGATACATTCTACCGTTGATTCCATTGAAAAAATTAAAAAAAGAAAGCTTGAAGAGGGTCAGTAATTTGCCCAAGTTCATATACCTAGCGCATATAAGATATAGATTTCCAGTTTATACCCATTTGACCATAGTCCCCAAGCACTTAGCACTAAAACAGTTTCCTTTTATAATATGCCACTGGATTGTAAATTGGCTGTGGATATGCTCATGCTACACCTCACTTTGAAAACCCAACATCCTTCATCTCATTTCCCTCCTCTTTGAGAATTTAATTATCTGCCTGCAGCAAAATGCCACAGTTAAAGGTTCTTATGAAAACTAAAACAAAGAGGGAAGGACAGTCATAATGTGTATTGATTTTTATTTTGCTTTATTTTTTTCCTGTCCACTTTGACTTTCTTTTATGGTCTTAGCATGTGGCCAACCCTATTCATGTTCTAGTGAAGTCTTAAAAACCACTTTCTGGAATGGGCTGTGCAAAATCATTTACGGAAATGAAAACTTTATAATTCTACCTGTGACGTTTACCTAACACTTTTGCCACACTCTGGCTCAGTTTCTTCATTTGGTAAAATGCAGTCCTTCTAGAAACCCTTTAGGAAATTGGCACCAGCTTTTGGGCGAGCTCTTCCATGCATTCTTTCTCTATTTAGTAGACATGATTTGAGTGCCTGTTGTGTGAGGGTCCAGTGCCAGGATAGCAAGAAGAATATATCTCTAACATAAGGATCTCACAACCTATGCTAACAAGCACAAAAGCAAGCCCAACAACACTGAGGTGCGATAGTAGGTGTGAGCACTGGGCATTGTGCAAGCCCACAAGCGAGGAGCCAAGCTACCTCCTCCCTCTGGGGAAGGCTACTGACGCCATTCCTGCTGGGCAGTGGGAGGTGGGCTTCTGAGAGTCTGGGCACATCAGGTTCTGGCTCTCAGTCATTGCTCCCAATAAGGATATCTACTGACTATATAATATATTTTCTGCTGTGGAGAAACCTGGTCTACAGCAAAATTCTGGTCATGGACTTTTTTTTTTTTTTAAATAATAGACTATAGTCCTGGTATATGTGAATTCATTGAGATGGCATTTTAGTGGCATCCGTTATGAACGTTACTACCTCCAATCCACCAGACCAGTGACATGCACAGACAATGCAAGGACAGCTTTGCACTGGGCTGTTTTGACGCATGCAGTGACTGCTGGAACCTCCACAGACACACAGAGTAGAAGGGGCCTACAGCACACATGGAGAGAATAGAAGATGAGTCATAACTGATGGAAGAAGAGTACATTAGATCCAGGATGAACAAATAACTTAAAACCCTTTTTTTTTTCTTTTTAAATTCACGCTAGAACTAATGCTCCGGATGTTTCTTATGACTTAACCTTGACTGACAGCAGAAATAAGACAACCACTGTCAACTATGTGCGTGACACATTGTCTAACCCTGATGGCTGGATGGCTCTGCTCTTGGATCAAGAGACCTACTCACTGCGATTTGAGACTCCTCGGACCAACAGATCTCTGCAGGGAATTTATTCAATGGTGTGTTCCATTTCCAAGTGCTTATGATGTTTCCTTCTGTAGAATAATAGTTTGAAGGTATTAGCATCTTTTGGTATTGATAAAGAAAACTGCAGCAGCATTTTGACCAGATGAATGTATGACTGTAACTTGAATACAATGTGTGTGTGTGTGTGTATTTGAAAATTTTATAATCTGTTTAATAAAATGTTCAAGTTTATGTATTTCAAGTTTATATATATTTCACCCTGAGTGCAGATTGGTTCTGCCTGAATTTTTAGGTTTATTAATACAATAAAAAACAGCTTCTAAGCAATCTATAGAATTGTATTCTTATATTATGGGTTAAGAACCAACTTAACCCAGAGAGAAGTGTTTGTAACCCAAGAAAAATGCCTTAACAAAGCATTTTTATGTTGCATACTGCCACCTTGTGGTCAAAGATTGACTTGTAAATGAAGGTCTAGGTGTCAAATGGTTAGGGGGAACAAACACAGGAATAGTCATGTAGGAAGTGGGTGCATTTTCTGGGGAAAAAAAAACAAGCAAAGGTGGATTCCCTCAAGCTTCTTTTCTTCCTTTGAACACGTTTCTTTCTTTCTGTCTCCTAATATTTCTATTCCCTACAAGCCCCGAGAGCAGTCTTAGGGAACTAGAAGCTGGTTTAGGTGTGCCATAGTTCTGAGGAATTCAAAACAGAATCTGTCTTTATCCTCTCACCACCTCTCTGAGAGCAGAGAGCTCTTTCCTTCCCTAAAGGTTCCCATGAGAACATTTCATGGAATTTGCATAAGGTAAAGGCAGCCGATTGGTGACTGGTTTCTCTCCTGGCGCACACTCTCCAACTTTGTGATATGGGACAAGTTTCCTGAACCTCTACCTGCCTCACTCTCCTCATCTGTAAAATGGGGCATGAACAGTAACAATCACAGGGGATATTTCAAGGATTGAATGACTTTATGTGAGTCGTACTTAAGCATGTAGCACAGTGGTTCCCAACCTTGGTTGCACATTAGAATCACCTGGGAATCTTTTTAAAATCCTGATTTCTGGGCCCCATCCTCTGGAACTTCTGTTTCTTTGGTATGGGGTGGGGCCACAACATTAGTAACAAAGAAACAGAATTTCCGGAGGATGAGGCCCAGAAATCAGGATTTTAAAAAGATTCCCAGGTGATTCTAATGTGCAGCCAAGGTTGAGAACCACTGATGTAGCACATGCTACAACAGTGTTCGCTATTGCTGTTATAAATGGATGATACTGCCAACATTGCCTGCCTCTTTAAAGGGATTCCAGACCTAGCTCTGTCTCGTCTAGCTATTTGACCTGGGACAAATCGATCCACTTGTCTGGGCCTTGGTTTTCTCTTGTGTTAATTAAGGAAGTTAAACAAAAGGAAACTTATGGTGTCTTTTCGTCCTCACCTGTATGATTTTGTAAACTCTAGTTCTGAGTTTGTTACGAAGTGGATTCAAATAAGCCCATTCCCCAGAAAAAAAGTCGTCTGGGTGTAAACTATCTTATTTCTAAACAACTCAGTGCGGTGTCTTTCCGTCCTCACCTGGTATGATTTTGTAAACTCGAGTTCTGAGTTTGTTACGAAGTGGATCCAAATAAGCCCATTCCCAAGAAGAAAAGTCATCTGGGTGTAAACTATCTTATTTCTAAACAACTCAGTGTTGTTTGTAGCTTTTTAAAAAAATGTATTTTATTGATTTTTTACAGAGAGAAAGGGAGAGGGACAGAGAGTCAGAAACATCGATGAGAGAGAAACATTGATCAGCTGCCTCCTCCTTACCCCCTACTGGGGATGTGCTCACAACCAAGGTACATGCCCTTGACAGGAATCGAACCCGGGTCCTTTCAGTCCACAGGCCGATGCTCTATCCACTGAGCCAAACTGGTCAGGGCTGTTTGTAGCTCTTTTTACAGGGGAGTCTTCCTTCCTAAATAAGCTCTATTGTATTTTTCTCTCACTTCAAGTACTCAGCAACATTTGACAACTTTGCTCCTGGGAATTACCTCCGGCTGGTCCACCCAGTCCTGTGGCCTTCCCCTGACATCCTCATACGGTGCGGGAGTCGAGTGGGGCGGTCTTTGCCCTCTCTTCCATCGCCTGGTAAAGACCAAGGCTGTGACTGGTTCTTCAATAGCCAGTTGAGGCAACTCACCTATCTGGGTAAGTATAAATTGCATGGGCATTTTTAAGGGCACGTAATAAGAAACCACCGCTCACTCTTGAAGTTTAGACAGTTGTGCTATGAAACGATGGGGAACTGAGGGAAACAGCTGTGTGTTATGGTTAAGTGGATGGGCTTTGAAATCAGACTTCCTGGTTTAAATCCCAGCTCCAAGACTCACTAGCTATGGGACACTGGGCAGCTGCTCTTTTACTCTGAGGCTCAGCCTCCTCACTTATAAAATGAAATAATAGGACCTACCCCAAAAGATAGGAAATTATATAAAGGATAATATGTAAAACTTTTTATCCGAGTGCCTAACCCATAGCAAGTGCTTATTAAACATTGTTATTAATATTTTCAATTCACTTTAAGGCACTGTTATATTTGTAGAAAGATCAAGTGCATGGGAAAGACAGGATGGCTTGGTATGGCCACATATATTAGGAGCAACAGAGAGGACAGGTGACAGCTACAAAGAGGAGGAATGAAGAGTGAAGTTACTGTGGAAGGTGAGAAGGAAAGCCTTGAAAGGGGATCCAAGGTCAGGAAGGTGCGGAGGCGTGGAGGGCTGACCTGAGGATCTGAGGACTGGGGTGGGCTGTCTCTGTCTTGCATCAGGATGTAGCATACAGGAGGCAACCTACTGCTATTTCTCTCTCTCTCTCTCTCTCTCTCTCTCTCTCTTTCTCTCTCTGTCTTTCAAAACAATACACATATCCTCACGTGAGGATTAAAACAAAAAGATGTAGGATGCAGGAACCTCATCTTATAGGACCAGAAACCCTTCTGTGATTGCAGAGTAATAGATGGCTGAAGGATTTCTTTATCATCTCATTGTGCGTGTTTCACAGGAGTTTTCTTTTGACTTCCTGGTGTTGGTCTCATATTCTTGTTCTATACCATGTCAGCATTGGTCACTCTGAGCACTGTGATGATGTCCATTTATACCAACCTCAGCTCAGTGTGGTCTGTAAGGAGAATCTGTCCAAATGGGTCTCTAGAATGTCAATTTTGTTATCAATTAGTCTTAACAGATCCTGGTCAGATTCAGGAGAACTCACAGCACCTCAAGTCCCAGCCCCTGCTACAAGCCAGTCTTGTCCCTAAGGATGTAGAGAGCTGGGCAATTGTCCCGAGTCCCCGGCCCCTCTCCCTGGTGCCTAGCTGTATGTCCGCTGAGTCTGAGCTACACTTAAGCCCTGGGATGATGACATGTCAATAGCACCATAGAGGAGAGTATGGTACTTCTCTGGTATTTTTATCTTTGCCAAATGGATTGTTGTATATTTTACTTGCACTGAATTGTAATGTTCAGATTTTCTTTTTGATTTGATACATTAATAATTGTAACCTAAAACTATAAAAACTCAGGAGGGACAGAGAGCCTGTGGCTGGTTTACCACTCTGGAGCGGAATACCAGTAGCAAGAGCAAATCGCTGCCATTAATTTTAACTATGACTGTTCACTTGGTATATATTATAGAGCAAAATTTAATTTCAAATGGTCCTTGTTCTATTACTTAGTGTGCTCTTCAGAAACATGTCCATTGGTCAGATTCTGTTCATGAGCTGCGGACAAATTTGAATACTCACATAAGCCAAAATGATAAAGGAACATTTGGGGCTTAAAGACAAAATCAAATCAAATCACACAGTTACAGATTTTCTTCCCTTTTGATAGTATTACTTATTGAATTAATAGCAAGTGAAACTATTATTCTATATATACTAGTATATACATACATGGTATAAATACGCATACCATAAGTATGTATAAGTATATATATTTATGCATAGATGTACCTCTGCATATGTATATTGTATATATATATGATGCGATGAATATTTTAATGTAAAACATTTTAATTAGGTATATAGTTTTCATTAATTTTTACAAAGTTCTTTGTCAGAATACCCGGGTATTTCCACCCTTTGAATAATATGAGTTGGAAAAGGAACAGGAAGTCGCAGAGGGTTGGTTGAATGTTTAGTGAACTTGGAGACCCTTGTTCCTTGGAAAGGATTCCCAGGGTTCCGAGCAGTGGCTCTCAGGGTCATTTGTGCTTCCTGTACCCTCTGAGCGTAAGGGGTAGAGAGGAGGCCAGAGCCATGTTTGTTCCCATTTCTGGGCTGGCACAGTGAGGACACCAGGACCCAGGGGGAATGGAGGCTCCTCCCGCTCCTCCTCGCTGGTACCCATGCAGCTCTCTTGGTTTGCATGGATTTGGTTTGATCTCCTTTGTGCATAGTTTGCAGCATCTTTAGGAGGGCTAAGGATGCCATGATGCCTAAATGGCAGCGAGGGAGTTGCAGCTGGTACCTGTTTCAGTTCTGTGCCATGCATTTCACATATTGGTTAGTTTACTTAATTGATTTTTTAAATCATGTGATATTATAAGTCTGTGATTGGCCTATTTTACACAAAATACATATAATCTAAGAAGAAAGCCCAAGTACAGACCTCACATTCTGTGTGGACATATTCCTGGATGAAAAATCATGGGGAGAGTTGTGTGTACAAGTTTCATTTCATTGTAGGGACACTGCTTGGCGTCCTTCAGGTCCCCTGAGTTTCCTGTCAGACTTTCAGGGGGGACGGGGGTTGGGGGGAGGGTCCCACTCCTTTTCCTGGCTGGCTTTCACTCAGAGTGCTGCTCCACTGACCATTCATTTGTTGACCACTTCTAAGTGGATTGTCTTTTGTATTGTTTGAGACCAAACCACATCCCCCAGGAGAGGAATTTTTTTCAATCACAATTATATTCATTTCCTGCATTTGGCTACTTCATGTGTTTGATTTAAGATACCCGACTAACCTTAGACATGGCCGAGAATGGGAGAAATCAGAACCCAGGCATTCTAGCTCCTGGCTATGGATCCCTCCACTAGAGTGTGCTGCCTGCCAAAGAATCATTGATCACTGACCAGAAAGGGTGGTGCTGGGGGTGCTGGGCAGGGTCATGGGAGAAGACTTCTCGCTGATCCCCAGTGACAAAGACAAAGGATCCTGCACATATAATATCTCTGACCCTTGCATTTCTCTCTCTACCGAGGCGAGTCTTGTCTTTGTTCCGCAAACATCTTTATGGAATGCAGGTTCTTTGGAAAGCTCATGGCCAGAGCTTAGGGCTTAAGGTTTTAATCAGTGGCTGGCTGGCTATTTTACCTGGGGCATGGAATTATAAATGCTCCATGCCTCAATAACTTCATCTATACAGCGAGGTTAAGAATACTGACTTATCTCTTGCAATTGTGCTACCAAACACCCCAAACATCCTCAGGTGTGATTAGTGTGCCATGTTACCTTACTCAAAATTTTCTCAAGAGATTATTTCTTTAGAATTTTTTTTTTTTTATTTCCTCGGAACTTTAACAACATCACAAGCCTTGAACTCATCATCACCTTTCTGAAAAGGGTCTCATTTTATTTTCCTTGACTAGATTTTGTTAGAGAGCTGAGATTCATGATCATATGACATATATGACATATTGTTCCCATGATTGAAATTTAATACCACTTAAGCAATTGCTACCCACAGAATAAGATAACCTCGCTCATTTAAAGAGATCTTGTAAGGAGATTGGTTCGGGTGGACTTTCTAAAGTCCCTGAGAATGCTGCCCACGGAGCCCCTTACAAAACAGACCACAAGTGAAGTACTGTGTGCTGTGGTTGTGTTAGGACCCGGAGGGGCAGTATTGGATGTGATTAACTATTATGGATGGTGGTTCTGAGATGTTACCTCTATGCCATGCTTGGGATGGGTAAGCCTGTAGAACAAGTGTTCTTTCTCATTTTCAAAGCCGGACTCAAAGCCAGCAAGCCCATCTCCCCATTTATACTATTTGATTCCCTGGCAGCTCCTGGCTCTGCCTGACACAGCCAGCTTCCCCCTGCCTCTCTCCCCGCTGTTGTTTTCCAGGGCGGTTTCAGTTCATGGTGAACTATTTTTATTTTTTAGTTACATTAACGCTATGAAATAATTAGTCAGCTAATTAATCTGGTTTACAAGCTTTGTAGGATTCTTCAGCTGTCAGTCAGGCCCCAGGCCCGAGGCCTACATCTCGTCTCAGCTCTCTTGCCCATGTGATTCCTGTTGCCATGGCTACTGGCTGCATCTGCTGACACCCCACTCTCTATTTATTGCTTAATTAAGAATTTCACGCTCAGCCCTTATCTGCCTCTAAGAACAAGCGCACACTGTTAAGAAATTCCAAATATAGGCCCAGGCACAAGGAAAGCCTTTCTTGCGGGCTTGGCTGGACGGAGCCCCTCTCAGGATCTTCTCGGCATCCCAGCCGCCACCCTTCAATCAAAAATCATTAAATGGGACAGAGATAATGAGCATGTCGCATATCAAAAGAAGGATGTTTGCTTGATCCCAAGGAGGAAAAGCTGCTTGTCTCCATCTCAGCTCCACTTCAAAGGGAGATGAGACCCCCTCTTCCGTGGGGCCTGATAAAGCCTCATTTGTTCTGGGCTTGACTTATGCAAAAGGTCTGGTATGTCCGAGTCCCATTGCACAGACGTGGCCTCCCCCCCACCTCTTGCCTCCACCTCCACCAGCCCCTGCCTGGCCTTCCGCACACTGCACACTCGTGTGTCAGCACTTAGGCAGCTGGGTCCCCCAGAGCATCAGGCGGAGCGTGTAATCACCGACTCTCCACCGACAATGGCCACTTGTAAGGGGGTGGCCAGGAGGAGGTCTTCCTCACAATAGGAACACAATTATTGCAGCTGCTGGGGAGGGCCAGGCTTCTTCCTGTAGAAATAGAATAGGACTTGCTCAAAACAGGGGACGAAGTGGGGGGGAGGTGGCGGGGGTGGAGATGGGGGGAGGAAACAATCTTGAGTTGATTATTCATATTCTGACTCCTGGAAGCCCCATGCGGAACCAGTGGGGTTCCAGCAGCTGCTCGTGCACAGCCCTCTGCTCATAATTGTACATTCTGTCAGGGGTCAACTTACTTTTGACCCTGTCCTTTCATATCGGTAA